CCCCCGAGGATGTTGATGGTAATAATGATTGATGACAATCACAGCAAAGATGAAAACAGTTATGAGATGATAACAACAACAGCAACAACAACAACAGCGACAATAATGATGATGCTGTTGCTGCTGACGATGAAGCTACAACGGCGACAATGATGATGATGGTAATGATGATGATTATGATGATGATGGGGATGCAATAACGGCGACAATGATGAGGAGGGTCACGCTGTCGCTGCTGACGATGATGAAGTTGGCGTTGGGTGAGGTCACGTGACTGCACACACAGAGAGCGTGGTGGTATCCGGGATGTGGTGTTGTGTGTGCGTGTGTGTGTTGTCGTGTGAGTGACGCCGTCCGTCGCCTGGAGCCACGGGCCTCGGGGCTAAGCTTCGGTGTCGTCACCTTCATGACCCTTCAGGCGCAGACGAGCAAAATCCTCAAAGATGAAGTCATCATCCTTGTCGCCGTAGAACGCCTCACCGCTGGGGAAATACAAGGGAGACAATGTTAGGTTTTCTTGGGGGAAATACAGGGGGAGATAATGTTAGGTTTTCTTGGGGGAAATACAGGGGATACAATGTCAGGTTTTCTTGGGGGAAATACAGGGGGAGATATTGTCATTTTTTCTAGAAAATACAGGGGAAGATAATGTAAGTATTTCTTGGAAACACAGGGGGAGATAATGTTAGGTTTTCTAGGGAGCCAATGTCCAGTTTTCTTGGAAATACAGGGGGAGACAATGTAAGTACTTCTTGGGGCAAGCTTTTTCTCAGGGGAGACAATTTTAGGTCTTCTAGGGAGATTATGTTACTTTTTCTTGGAAATACAGGGAGAGATACTGTCAGGTTTTCTTGGAAATACGTGGGGGAGATAATGTTGGGATTTCTAGGGGAGATAATGTCAATTTTTTGGGGGCATGGAAATCCACAGTTGCTTTTTTTCTCTCCAACAAAGTGAACAGCCTTTTGGACAAAACCCCTGTCATTTTGACGACAGGCTCTCACATATAATAACAACATTAAAAAAATGAAATAATAGTAATTGTAATAAAAACAGCAATGAGATAATAAAACAGTAAAAATTAGTGCTCCCAAAAGACAAACCAAAAATAAAAAAAGTTTAATGCCCGGGTTCAGTGGAAAATCCCTTGAAGAAATTGAAACTTAGTGCTACATGTAGTACTTTTAGAGTACAGGTCTCAACCTCAAAGCCTGCCGCCCCCATCCGGGCCCCATCCGGCCCTGTGATCCATTATATCCAGCCTGCCAGAGAATTCTAAATACTTCATCCTGAAAATCTCCATAATCAAGAACCCTACTCCATCTTTTTACAGATGAAGTGTGTTGGGTGAGCTAGTGACTTTGGAACTTTCGGAAAGTACCGATTTCCAAAAAAGTATGAACGGTTGGAAGCTAGCACCCAATACCAATTAGCAGTTATTACAATGAAAGTAACAATGACAACAGCAACAATGACAATAATAATGATTGTATAGTAGACACCATCAACATGGCATACGTCCTAACTAACCATGCTAGATAAAAAATAAGTTGTGATAAAATAAAAATGAAAAAAACAAGAAAAAAAACCTAATACCCTGCCTCCCCCCCCCCCCCCAAAAAAAAAAAAAAATGTGAATGTAATTCTTGGCCCAAATACTGGTGGTACGTAGGTCTTGCATTCCTGTGAAAATCATCATGCAGGCTGGAGGTTTAAAACAGAACTGCCAAAAAACTGGCTATGAAAAAAAGTCCTGAACCGTTCGGACCCCAGAGCAAAGCATGTGTACAGACTCAAGATTTATAGATCATACCATCTATTACATTTTGTATCAAGACTATTTTTGTATTTTTGGGGAGGAGAAGGAGAGGAAGGCAATGGAAGATGTGGACCGCCAACATTGCAGAGTGGACAAAGAAATCCTTCGCCCAAACTCAGGCGCTCACAAAAAAACGTGAAAAGTGGAGGCATCTGACGAGGCTGTCTATCATACAGCGCCCCTACGATCCTCGCGGATTTATGGGATCAGTAAACGGTAAGCAGTATTCAATATTATAGTACAATATTCAAACAGTACCAGAAATTCGGATTTCCGGATTTATATGGAAAATGAGTAGCTCTGGTTTTAAAAATAATCCCTGGAATCTCCTGGAAACAAAAAGAGAAAAGTACTGTTGTCCTTCCAATATTCTTTCGCGCAAAGAAAGACTCTTGTTTTTGTCTTTAAACCCCCGTCTCTGTCACCTTTGACAGGAAAACACTGAACTTTGCTCCAGTCAGCAGTTACACTTAGTTCATTTAGCAATAACAAGTGTGAAAAACAACGACAAAGACAACAATAACGACCATAATGACTATAACAATAGTATAACAACTACATGCTCAAACACACACATGTATATGACTTGTTCCGAATTCAAATGACCCTAGCTCACGTCAACACTTTTGTCCTCAATTCAACAACAACTGATTCTCACCACTTTGTCCTCAACTCAACAACAACAACAACAACAACTTATTCTCACCACTTTGTCCTCAACTCAACAACAACAACAACAACAACTTATTCTCACCACTTTGTCCTCAACTCAACAACAACAACAACAACAACAACAACAACAACAACAACTTATTCTCACCACTTTGTCCTCACCACATTCCACATATTATGTGTCTGTGAGTTTGTCCTTGTCTGTGTGTGCCGGAGTGCATATGAGTGTATGCGTGCTTGTGTGTGTGCGCGTCTGTCCATATGTGAGTGTGTGTGTGTGTGTGTGTGAGTGTGTGTGTGTGT